TTTCATCTACCCACCTTGTCTGTTTTGTGAACCACTATTGTCCGAAATACACCCACTCATTGTCCGTTTTCATTCGGAAACCGATCCACATGTGTATCCACACGAGTTGTCCCTCATTTCCAAAGCAAATGGGAGCAGTATTATTTTTGCCCTTCCGAGATAGAATCGACCCACAAGCTGCTACTATCAACTGTAGACTTACGAGAAAAGCACTTGACCACGGGGCAACTATGATGTGTGTTTTTTTTTAGTGCTGGTTGGCCCCGGTGAAACGCCACCGGCAGGATCTTGAATATCACCTGAGCAATATCACCACGTTCTCCAGTTCGTGGCTGTCACGATGACACCAAACATGCGAAAATCGAATGGTTATTGATCTCCGTATGCGTGGAGGACATGATTTTGGCTCCCCCTGAAGCAGGCTGTAGACAAACATCTTCAGCATCGCCCGGGTTGATGGCATATTGCCCTGCTGCGACTGTTTCCTCTCGTGGGTGAGGATCATAGTGAGCTTTTTCTTCCCACAAGGGTGTCCTTTTCGTCTCGATTAACACCGCAACCAATGAGCTAAGGAGGGTGAAGAAGTCATGGCGACACGAACGGCCTAGCGGAGGACATCAGCAGTGGGGTCTCTCCCGCCATCATGGGCGAAGCGGAAGCTGCACAGCTGCGACCTTGTGGGAAGCGTGGCCAACAGCACCTCCCTCCAGCTCGCGCGCCCTTAATGTCTAAAGCCGGGTGTGCTAAACACCGTCCAGCGAATAGCTCAACCTCGAGCGTTGTGGCCTATTTCGAGGAAGTCCAGGCAGTATCACAATTCTTGTAGGTGTGGCACCTCCAACAATGGCCTCTGCATGCGCTCTTTCCTCTTGTACCTCTTGGTGACGTACGAAGATTTAAACAGCGCTGCGTGACATGGCCCGCATCTAGAATTTTTGTCTCGGCCTTGAGGGGGAAAGAATCGTTTAAGTACCAATCATGACGTCACCAGGTAGGGTTGCTAGCATAGAGGAGGTTGCCCCAAATGTGTTATTCACACACTAGCAGGCACTAGTAAACTATTTTTCGTGGCGAACCCAGGCCGGCGGGAAGGGGATTTCATGTGACGTTGCAAAAGTCGTTGCGATATATAGCGGCGTCTTTGGAATTGAATCATTTGTTCAATCAATAGTCACGCTGCCTGCACATCACGGTGGATGAGATTTTTTTCCGGATCATCTCGGTGCGTTGTGAGATACGAAACCAACCATGGGCCCGATTCAGAATGCATTCCCCAGTGACAAGGTGATCGCAGAAGAAAAATCGAAGCCAGAAATGTGATCTTTGTCGTCGGGTTGCCATGAAGATCGGCAGCACAAGTGCACTTGCTTTAGGCTTGATTCCAACTGTGACACAGCCGTATATTGCATCATGCAAGTTGTTTATTCCACGTTTTCCTTGGGTCCTCTGGGCATGTTTCTCCACCTTTTCCTTGTGCCCGCCGTCTGGTAGCCCGGTTCAGGAACACGCGCTGACACATCTACCCGTTCAATTTCCCCCCGTCGCACCAGACGATGAGCTCGCCCTCCAACAGGAAGAGGACGCGAGAAACGGAGATGCTGGAGGTGGCGCTAGAGAAACGATCGCGGTCGTTTCCTCAAGAGTATTGAGTACATCCTCGTCAGACCCACCGGTTTCGAGGGAAGGTTCGCCTTTCGGTCGTTCACCGAGCGGCTGTGGGGATTGCTGGGGCCCGCCACCTATCTCCTCCACTGCACGGGCGTCCAAGGGCAGCGGTGGAAAATTTCCCAGCGGCAGCACCGGTGGTAGTGCCATCGACAACGACATTGGCGACGATGGCGAGCGATTACCACATCCAGGTACGTTCGAGTGTAAGAATCGCCTCGAGAATACGTTAGGACGCCTTCGCGTGATTCCTTTTGGCACGCTGTTATTTTGGTGCACGATTGATTGACCTTTGTCCGAGCCATGATCCTGGTGGCGAGATACAGGACGAGCTCTGAGGCCTTAGTGGCCGCAAGACACAAGAGATTCCTGGGGGTGACATCAGGATTTCCACCTGACCGTTTGTTCACTGCAGGTTCACCCCATTTGCCAAAGACTTCGTTTACTACGCTCACGTTGCTGCGTGGTGGACGTGTTACCCCCTGCATGTGTCTATCAGCAAGCAATTGTCCCTCCTGAGCATGGTGACAGCTCGTCCCACCGTCACCTGTACTGCATCAGACAAAATACGTACCAAGGGTACTTTGCCGGTGGCGACCGTGACTGATTCCGATCTATCTCTTAGTCTCACTTTCTCATAGGTCGCGCGAATTTTGAACGATTTCTTCTTCAGCTCTCTCTTTCTCCTATCACGCGCCCCCACCCCGAGTGCTAACCCACCCCGTAGGAGAGCGATGAAACTGCAGGAAAGCAATCAAAATGTTGTCGAGCTTTAGGCATGCTCAACGCAGTCACGCTGGAAGGGATCTTCTTTTGCTTCCTTCGTCGTGACCGACAAAAAATGGTTCGAAGCCCTTGTGGAACACATCCCCCGAGACGCCTTACGATGCACTCAGCAGAGCTGTTGGAAGGCGGTTGCATACCATACTCCTGGTGCAGAGTCGTTGTACAAATCGATGCTTGAGTTGTAGATGAGCGGGAACAAGCCAACGACGAACGTCGACGATGCTTTGTTGGACCCCAACATGATGAATTTCTTCTTGCTTCGGGTACCCGAGCTCTACGCTTCTTCTCCAGGATACCAACGACAAGCAGGATCCGATAGCAGTGTGGAATGCGGAACGGCACTTTCTTGTTCCGCTGCATGACTCACCTTTGCATGCCATTGTTGAGCGTGGTGGTCTTGTTTTTCTAGTGATGTAACATGAAATCACCCCTGACCTGGGCGAGCTCCAGCCATTCATCGGTTTGTTGCTTTCGGGTGCCCCGAGCGATCGTTTCTCCCCCATTGTTCGTTCGGTTGTCGGGCCTGTGAGCACGTACATTCATGAGACTTCTACGGATTTTTACGTTTTCGTTCTGATGTTGGCTGGGCTCTAGCAGTGAAACCATGTGTGCGCCGTTGAGCTTGAGAAATCTCGCAACTGGTTGCTGCCAACCAGCTGTGCGGCTGACCCTTTTGTTGTTGTTGTTGACTTCACATTAAACCGTATGCCAGTTGCAAAATGCCAAAATCTAGCAAAGACTCTCGGCCCGTGGTCACGAAAGTGCTAGAGCCATCTGAGGATCTAAAGAACACGCACACGTAGCAAGAAAAAGGTGTACAAGAGCCCGAAGAGGTACTACTACACCTATATATAATCCCTGCAGCACCGTACGCGTGCCCAAAACTGAACTACACGTCCGTCTCACCGTTCGACTACAGCAACATCACCCCCT